TATATAAATAAAATCAATGCTAAAGATGTATTGTTCATTGTTAGGTCAGGAATGTAATGTAATGTTTGCAAAGTGAAAGTGTACTGGTTAACTTAAGATGAGCATGAGATGATTGCACAGGTAATCTAAAAATGAACACAATTCCGTTTCCATTATCAACCGATACTGATAAACAATATCAAAAACCACAGTATTTTACAATTTAATCTTTTAAGTGAATTTTATGTGTGTTAGTTTAAGGTCCATGTGAAAAGGAGCAACAACTGCAGTTTGAAAGCATTTGTAAACGACTAAATGGTGTGTTCCAGATCCATTTGCGTTGAAGAGGAACGTGGCTCGCAGTCTGAACAGTCAGATGGTGTTCGAGTACATCCAGGAGCGTTTCCGCACGGCCTACAAGTATTTCGCCTGTCCTCAGAGCAGGAACGGAGCGAACGCCAGCCGCGGCTTACTGAGGAAGAAACCCAGACGCTCTCACACGGCCCGATCCTGCAGCCTGGACCGAAAGAACCGTGCGGAGGCGGAGAAGAGCGGCGAGGAGGACGCAGACAGCAGTGATGATGAGGACGAGAGAGATATGGAGGAAGAGGAGAGCCTGAGAGCGGGGTTCACAGAGCTCCTGGTGAGCGACGCTGGGATGGACACCAGATCGGTTTCACAGGAACCCTCCACAGCGGAGTCTCCTTCTGCCCTGAACGGCCTGCTGATGGACAGTGAGGAGGAGGAGGAGGAGGATAAAGATCAAGAGATGGAGAAACCGGACAGTATTGCTCCAGAAGACATGCACTACATCTTTGACAGGATGATCTTCACTGGTGGAAAGGTAATTGCACAGGATATTTGTGGTGCTTGACTTATATTCTACTTATGTTTGGCTCAAAAATCGGGTAGATATTGATCTTGTGTAGTTTGTGAACTAAATGGCCAGCGATCATTTTATTTGTTTTATTTTTTTTTAGCGAAATTGTTTAAATTAATCAATTTTTTTCAGTGAATCGACCAAAACCGGCTTTCAAAATGGTATGAACGATTCAGTAGTGGATTGGTCTGAATTAAGAAATTATTTCACATGCAAAGGAAAAAGTTTAAAAGTTTGGGGTCACTAGGTTTTCTTTTTTTTTTTTTTTTTTTTTTTTTTTTTTTTGGGTTTTTTTTTTTTTGCTCACCAAGGGAAAAAAAAAATCAGGAAAAAAAAAAAAAAAAAAAAAAGGGAAATTTTGGAAAAAATTTTTAAATTTTCTTTTTGTCATGCAATTGCAATGAATATTGAACACAAAACACAATAACGGCAAACTGAACTCCTGTATATTCCAAATAA